AAATTTAAGCAAACATTAGGTTTATTTACAGATATTTTAAATGGACATTGGCCAAATATACGTTGCAGGAATCAAAACTGTTTTTAGAATAGTTTTAATGATTGATGCTATCCGCAGTAATGATAAATTTGGAAATAAATTAGAAAAATTTCAATTAATGTAAATGATTTGAAATGTATCACTTAACTGACCAGGTTAATATAATGGATGGTTAGGATAATGTTTCTAAGTTTTAGGAAATGTTTCACTTACAATCCAATTCGTGAACTTAAAGTCAAGAGATGACGATTCAGATTTTGTACACACACTCTCCTATTCTCATGGATCAGACAAAGCCACTGAAAAGTATGAAACACATGAGCGGCAATAGCTGATTTATTCTATTTATTACCAACCTTTAAACTGTTGACAACCATAACAAAATATTTTGTAATACGTTTTTGTTCCCTGATATAAGAGAGTAAAGACACTGTGACTTTAGCCCTAAAATAAGAGAAGTAGCGGTTAAAGGCCAGGGGGACTATAGGGGCTAAAGCACCCATCAGACCCTGTAAATAAAAAAATAAGTTTTGTCATAAAAATGTAACGGAGGTTTTTGGACACGAATCAAGACTCAATCAGACATAGTTCTAGACACTGAATGTAACTATGTGATGTAACTGCGATATTGTACAGTATTTGGTTTAAACGGGCATATCAGATAACACATTTATAGTTTTCAAACTTATATATTGGATTGTACTGTACCGGCTCACCCCTTGCTTTGCTGGATACGTTCCACGCATAGATCTGTAGTCTATATGTGGACGGGCAAATGCAAGGTTAAAAGTGACCGCCAACCGCCAACCTCTTTTATAAAAAAAAAATAAATAAACAATACCGGAATGAATTAACTTTAACATTTTGGTCCTAGAACCACGCTCAAAAGAGAAACAATTACAGTAGTCGAAATCGTGCCAGCGTTACCAAACATCACCAACGTCCTGTGACGTTGCTTCTGCTTCAAAAGAATTTGTATGACTATGCACTGATCTGAAAGCAATGTTTCAAAAGGAAGGGCTCTGAAATTTTAGAGTTATGCCTTTTGGAGAAATGCCTGGATCTCAGCATCCAAAAAGGACGTCAGATTTTACTATTGGTTGAGAAGTCTACTAATTTTTTGCGTTCAAAATCAACAGCATCTGTTTGAAACTCATATTCTCGATAGTTCTGCAATCTTTAAAGTACCATAGTTTCTTTTTTTCAAAATTCGATTGCGTATATATATAAAGAAAACATAATATTTATAATGGTTTAAATACCTGCATTCAGTAATCCAATATGCTGCTTGTGGCAACTATAGTTTCGGTTCCCAGGGAACCATCTTCAGGCCGTACAAGGCGTCGTTATTCACTTCCATATATGAAGGTCGTCATTTAATAAATAAGTACATAGAACACGAACACCCAAAAACGCACATTGATACAAACATTTAACATTAAAAAGACCGAGTACTCGGGAACACGTGACAGGTGACGCGACCGGGTGGCCAGACGACTTCCACCCGGTCGCGTCACCTGTCTCGTGTTCCCGAGTACTCGGTCTTTTTAATGTTAAATGTTTGTATCAATGTGCGTTTTTGGGTGTTCGTGTTCTATGTACTTATTTATTAAATGACGACCTTCATATATGGAAGTGAATAACGACGCCTTGTACGGCCTGAAGATGGTTCCCTGTGAACCGAAACTATAGTTGCCACAAGCAGCATATTGGATTACTGAATGCAGGTATTAAAACCATTATAAATATTCAAACGTAATCCGGAGGCTAACAACTCTTAAAAATGAAAACATAATAGTTTATGCTGTGATTGTTTACGTTCCAAATATAGTTTTGAAATCTCATTTAGTTTGAGATAATTTCTCATGCTTTTCAGGTTTTTTCCTATCTGCTGACATACATTTGATTAAGAATTATAATTACAAGGCCTTTTATGGAAAGAATTTATTAGATTAACTAATTATTTTTTGGATGGTTCAACTGGAATCCCCAAAAGAGGGCTCTAAATGTGTCTGTATATTTTAAAAATATAGGCCTAAACAAATTACACCAAATGTTCTGGTTAAAGTTTGTCTAAAGCTTTTTTCTGTTCTCAATGAAGTGTTTACATCTTAAAGTCAACCTTTTTAGAAAATATTTGGCAAGTTTATTTCCAATAAACGAAATAATTCGTGCAAAGGACACAAATAATTAAAGGGTATCAATTAGTAGACCAAAAATTTTTATGTATGAATAAGCAAAAACTTACCCTTAGAGTAATTTCATAATATTCTTCTTTATCAATAGCCTAGTCTGTTTATAATTTTTTAAGTGGTCTTTTGTACTTGACCTTTTTATTGCTAAGAAAAAACATAAGTAAATCTTCATCCTAGTTTTCATATTCTAGTACTGTAGTAATGAAGATTGTCAAGCATAAATGAACCTTGTACAGGCTTTATCTCCACTTTCACCATTTTAGTTGAACCCGCTTCTGGTGATTGATTGTACGTTGAACAGTTGTGCTAACTATTGTTTCAGGCGCCTTCCCTCGCCGCTCCCACCCCTGATGCGGAGGCGAAACCGACAGCAATGGCCGCCCCCGGGCCAAACTGTATGTTACAATCGTACGGGGTGGACCCAGGCGAAATGGGATCACTTCTAAACGTAATGCTAGACCTGTCAATAAACTTGCTGGAGAACAAGGACGATCCTTGTAAGAAACAGGAGATCATTAAGAAGATGCAGAAGGCGCGTGGTGACATGGACACGTACATGAAGAAGCACGACGAGGCAGGCCAGGGTCTCTTGGAAGGGTTGTTAGGACCGCTTCTACAAGCCGTGGACCAGCTGTTGGAGGGGTTGCTAGGAGGTGAAGGAGTTCTAGGAGCTGTCGGAGACCTTCTGAGCAACGTCATCAACATCCTCCTCTGTCTGCTCAAATCTCTTGGACTAAATGTTGACGTTAAACTCATGGTTAGGCTGGGGAACCTGCTCAGCTTAGACCTCGGCGTCCTCCTCAACCTCGGATAGATAGATTAGAATTAAGTGTTTTATACCTGCAGCGAGATATTTTATGTACCTATTTTGAATAAAATCTTAAAATACTTTCAGCAGTATTTATTGCAGGGGAATTCACTTTGGCTCCTTCATTTGAACATTGAAAAGATATGTTCGATTCTTCTCGAGTCCGGAGTAGTCAAATTCCAACACATTTGAATTAAAAATGTTAAATGATAATACCGGGAAGATTTACTACAAAACTTAACAAAACCTCTCTGATTGTCCTTCACAAAATGTGATCCTGAAAATGCTTTAGTTTGATTTTCATTACTTGAAGCGGCTTCGTGGCAATGAGAAATGTTCACTGTGTGATTACGCATTACACGTTTTCAGGTGGGATGTAGCGTACTGAATGTAAACTGTTTTTTTATAATACAAGACTGTCAGTGTATTTAATTTAATTTATTTGTAAAAGTAGTGTTATCCATGGATTCTTTATGGTATTTGTCTAGCTTAGTCACTTGTACTGTTCCTGATAATGTTTCATGCAGGACTAATGGTTGGATTCACGGATGCACTTTGAGAGATGTCAACTGTGAAGTGATGATTGTTTCAGGGCCCAGCCATGTCGGCTCCGCACCCTCTAGCAGAAGCGGAACCAGCCCCCGTGCCGGCGCCGGAACCCAACTGCATGTTGAACTCCATGGGGGTTGATGGCGAGAAGTTAGGAAGTTTGTTGAACATTATGTTGAGTCTCACAGTTCAGCTGTTGTACAACGGAGACGACGAATGTCAGAAACAAGATTTGATGAAGAAAATGACTTGCGCGAAGGAACAAATGGAAGAGTTTATGGACAGTCAGTCTTCCCAAGGACAGGGTTTGCTGGAAGGTCTGCTGGGACCTGTGCTGAAGCTTGTAGACGATTTGCTAGAAGCTTTGCTCGGAGGTGGAGGCTTGCTCGAGGGAGTTGTTCAGCTGTTGACGCAACTCATACAACTGCTTCTTTGCATTCTGACCGGCCTCGGGCTCGACGTGGATGTCCAAGTCATGGTCAAGCTCGGCAACCTTCTCAGCATAGATCTTGGAGTTCTGCTCAACCTCGGATAGAGTTAATTTAAGGACATTTTTACTACGATTAGAAGCTGGATGTAATTGATAATTTTGTAAATAAAACATTGAAAGTCATTTTCTTTTTTACATTCTATACTTGTTCTTTTATTGAAGACTTAGCATATTTGATTTGATATTTGATGTGACATAATTTTATAGGACCAACTTGGACTGTCGTAGGCTCTACTGTTTACATACTGTGATAAATATAGCGACCATCTTAGGATACATTAACATTATAACTTGCCCTTATTCAAATAGGATTTCAGCTTTATGCGTGCAGTTCTGATGTTATAAGAATAACACTATTTTTCGATTGATCTTTGGTGGTTACAGTGTTATAAACTGTGTTTACAAATCTTTCTAAATCATAGACTGTCAGTGTATTTAAGTTGTAAATGTATTTCGGCAAATTAATTGTGTTTTCAGGTCTTGAGTCAGTACCAGTTTCCTTAGATGGTGCAATAACAAAAAATATACCTTGACAAGTTAGCTTCCTATACCAATTGGATTATTTGATTAACTTTTTGAGTATATCAATAAATTAATTAGATCCAAAACAAAAAATAAAATTATACTTTTATTCACGGTGTTTGTCAGCTATATTCTTTATGTTATTTGCACCATAACGTTACTGAAGGTGTGCCTTACTGTTCTAATTTCTAAACAAATCATTACCTTAAAATTAACAAATAATTGTTCAAACAAAAAGAATTGAGGGAAGTTACACCTTCATGTAATTCAAGGTCTACAATTTTCTGTAGCCTACAGAAACTAGCTGTGTCCTTGTCTTGGCAGAGAATCCAAAATAAGTGTTGCAAATAAAAAAGCGTATCAAAGCGTTATTCTGACAATGCGTTGTTTCTTGCAGAACTCTCCTGTGGAGGCATCCCCTCTGCCGGAACCCGAACCGGAACCGCTACCAGAGGCTAATCCGGGTAAAAGTCTAGGACCCGCCTATGAAGCCGACGGAGCTCAGGGCTGCGATGACGAGGAAGACGGTGGCGGCGGCGGCGGCGGCGGTGGTGGTGGTGGTAGTGGAGCCCTCCTAGACTTGGAGGTCTTACTCTCCGTCGACCTTTCCGGCCTGGGAGATCTGCTCAACTCTCTGCTAGGTCTGCTCCTGGGAGTAGCAAAGGCTTCTCCTTGCGAGTACGGTGAATACGCAAAGAAATTCGAGGGTTTGATCGCTGATGTCTACGTGTACGTCAACCTCCTAGGTATTGAGGTACAAGTGAACCTCCTGATCATCCTGGGTCCTCTGTTGGAGGCTGTGCTGGGTCTCGTCGAAGGTCTTCTCCAAGGTTTGCTCATCGACCTCAGCCTCATCTTGAACCTGGTCCTCAACCTCCTCGTCACACTCAACCTCAAGATCGACCTCGGAGTTGCCGTTCAACTAGGAAACCTCCTCAATCTCGATGTCCTCGCTCTCCTTAGCCTCGGGTAGATTAAGTTTTAGTTATAGCTTTAAATACACTGACAGTCTTTATTTTTTTGTTAAATGTTTGTGTTCCTTTTTTCGCTTAAGCCGTTTCATCAGTTCGTGATGGTGTGCTCGAATTTCACAGCTCTGGTGTTTCCCTGCAAGAAAAACGCGGAATTGGGAAGTATAACTGTTTTTATTCAAAATTACTCAACTTTTCAATATGAGCTAGCTCTAACAAAAGATAAACTAATAAAATAAGCACACCATGAGCACGATAAGACCAAAAACATAATAAAGGTTCTTTTAAGATGTAAACCTAGAGACAGCCTCAATCACAAATTTGCTACATTTAAAAAAAATTAATAAAAAGTAAAATTGGTTTGTTTTGAAATAGAGTAATAATGAAATAAGGTTTGTTAAGCTACATACATTTGGCCAGTCAATCTTATGTCAACAACCATTAAAAAAAACAGCATATTGCATGAGTTCAAGTTCCACATGATTTTAAATCTTTAAAACCAAAATTGTATGTCAGGAGTATGCCTACTAAAAATGTTCCTGATTTAACCATTCTCATTTATAACCCAGCAGTAGAACTCTAATCAGAAATCAGTTGTTACGATTTGGGTTTTGTAGTAATTAACCTTTATGATTATATAAAATACATAATAGGAAATTGAGCAGCATTTAACAGGCAGGTTCTGTTAATTATTTGGCAAAAATAATGCAATAAAAGACACTTGTACTGAAATTAACAATAGTCAATAACTCAAAATTGTAGATCGTAGATCAATTTTGTATCCAAGGAAAATTTAAACAAAACAATATCCAAGATAGTGACCCACATTGTTCTGACATTAAATATTACTGTGGATATGGCAGTGATAAAAACCAATATTATATCAATAAGTTCACAACAACAAACACTTTCAAGGTGAATTAAACCCTGTAATTACCAATAACACAATACAGCTTACTATTTCAAAATTTAGGATATTCTGACATAAATGGACTTAAGGGTTCAACAATGGAGATGGATAGTAACTAGAATTATAATAAATTAGTTAAACAGTAGTAAGATACAAAAATGTTTTCCCTAAATTTTAACATTAATTAAATCAAAAATAATTAAAGCCAAAACCATGACACACATATATTTTTCAAAATCAAAATAAACAATCCGTGGAAGGGGTATGGAAGGGACCTGGTCAAAAGTAATTCAAAGTAACGTCTTATAACACTTAAAAACATATATTTACGCTTATACTGTTACTCACAAGACGGTAAATATACAAAAAAGATGGTAAGTGGTGATCGATTTCGATTCCCAATCCACATGATTATTTCGATTGGGAATCGAAATTGATCACCACTTACCATCTTTTTTGTATATTTACCGTCTTGTGAGTAACAGTATAAGCGTAAATATATGTTTTTAAGTGTTATAAGACGTTTCTTTTATTTACTTTCCGTAAATTTAATAACACGTACAATGCTGATCAAGAAGTTATTGAATATTTTTGACTTAACATCAAATTAAAAGAGTGTACATGATGAAAGAGTATAAATGAGAAATGCATTAAATACCTAGATATAAAAATACTACAAGGTAGACTAGTAACGTTAAACACTTTTTTTTAATGCACTTATTGGCCCAAAACACTAGTGAAATCATTGGTGAGGACAACACTAAACTAAAGCCCAAGTTTGTCTGTGAAATGATTGGCATCAGTTTGTGAATAAGTTTGGCTTTCACATACCAATTATAGCATTGAATAGCAGGGTAGCTGAGTGCTGAGTGGTTAGAGTGCTCGCCTGATATACAAAAGGTCGTAGGTTCGATCCTGAGATAAGCTTATTGATGGTTCAAAACTGGACCTAGCTGTCCTTGACCAATGGGCTAATGAAACAGCTGATGAGTCAGTAACAAAGCTATACAGTAGTATCATAGACTAAGCAACACAAGGGAGTATGTTTTATCTATGGTAGTATCTCAGTATCTCACTCCATTCTACACTCATAAATACGCACCTAAGTGGCATTCCTATCTCAATTGGTAATTGGAAACCTGAACAGTCACTACAACCAGTGGGAGAAAACAGGGATATTTAAAAGCTGATCTCAAATTCAACGTTAAAAGGAGAGCTTTTGAATAAGCCAAAGAATAAAAAACGGTAAGTGGCAGAATTGTAATCTGTAATCATATAATTTAATTGGTAGCCAGAACCACTGTTAAGAGTTTTCTATTTTCAAATAGACCAAAAATAAACAAACGAATAACTCATTAAAGAAATAGGGGCACAGTCATGTGCACCTGCATGGGGGCAAGGGTAACCATGCCCCCTCTGAGAAAAACTTGACTTGACTCTATGGTTTTAGACAGCTCAATATGTCTAAAATAAAGCTTTGCTATTGATGTATATATACGTAAAACCCCTTATCTTAAAAATAACAAGTATAGGTTAATAATTTTTAGTGACCTGTCCCTATTGTTGGTGGTTAGAATAAAAAACAAGAAATGATATAATAAAATGACCAGTATACAATTTTTAAATAAATCATATTCTTTTATTGAAAAAGTCTTAATAAAAAATATCTTTGCACATACTGTATATTTTTCAATTTGTTACTTTTGACTTTACTATAAAATAAATTATTTACATTGTTTTGATCTGAAATATGTAATTCTGAAAGAGAATCTCTGTGCTCTTAAACAGCCCAAAAATTTGTTCGTAGTGTTTTAAATTAAAACTGTTTGGAAGAGCATCTTTCCCCGACTACTGGAATAAGATATCGGGTTTTATTTTTGAAACATTTCCAGTTGGTGCCTTTGATTACATTTGTTGTAGTGATTAGAGCAACGGAAAGAATAAAGTCCCACTTATCAATAAGTTTTATCATTATAGTGATAAAAGTCAAGTCCATCTACATATAAAAAAATATAGCCCTCAGATGAAAATAGCTTCCTCTCCATCAGATAAAGCATCTATCTTGTATTTATTAGATCACTTAACTAAACTAATACAAAGGTTGGTTTCATAGAGGAAATCACAAATTTTAAAACACTCATTATGATGCAAATATAATACTTCTTATTTATGAGAAACAACCAAAAGGATAACCAGAATTCTAGACATTTGAAGGTTTTTTAAACTCTTGGAAACTAGTCAATGGTTAAACGTTATAGCAACACACATTTGTATTTATTTAATTCATGAATGTGTGAACGACTACAAGCGCACTCGCCGACCCGCCGGCGTCTTTCTACACGTCTGCGAGTGGACAAGCTCCGTGTGATCGAATACAAGCACACTCGCCAACTCGCCGGCTTCTTACACTCTGGCGTGTAGCTTGTAAACTCGCCCCGTGTGAACGGGCCTTTACTGCAGGAGGTCGCTGGGTATCCTGCATGTATTGTTTTAGACACCACTCAAGACATTTAGCAGGCTAAAGAGGACATGGTCCTAGAACAGCCTCAGTCCAGTGGAGTTTCGGCTCCTTGCACTGGAGTGAAACATCACGAAACTAACTAACTCAAAACAGTCAAAACATATGGTGTCGTCCACCCTTCAGAATGGTCCTCATAATTCCTTGGAATAAATGTCAAAACTAAAGCCAATTTTGGTATATCCATGGAGAGAAACACTGAATGAGTGTTACAGTTAAATTTTGAAATAGAATACATACATAACATGATAAAATGAGCTGGATCTAAACACTTTTATGTCATCTTGATCTTAAAAATGTAAACAATTGTTAAAAATTTAAAAAAAGTAGAGGCAATTGTTTAGTACCATTCCAGAATTTGTCAAACAAATTAATTATACCTTGAGGGTTAGCAGACTTCAAAATTTTGATTGTGGTGAGCTACATGATTATAATTTGGTTTTCTGCAATCTTTATACAGTTAGGTAACTAACAACCAAACGATGGCTTGTCATTCAAATCCGAAAGGAGTTTGAAGTCTGGCCAAATTTAGGTAGAATAGTTTACTTTACAGATACAAAATTATCAACATAACTTCTATTTTATCTGTATAATGGCATCATGACAAGTAACATCAATAAAAATAGAGTAATATAAATGTATTAGAATTATTGGATGTTCTCTCCTTTTAGCAAATTTTCCATAGAGGGAATAAGCTATTACTGTAGGTTTCATGCAAAAATCAAGTCGCGGGACCACTTTATTTTTACCTGAAACACGTAATGTCCTGATTTAGTACCTTCAATGTAATACATTTTACGCCACACTACACAGTTTTAACGAACTTCCCACGCAAGGATTTAGTCCAGAAAACAGCTGTTTGCCGCAAGCTTAATCAATGGGGTTTCATTACATACTACTGTACTACACACAGTACTGTAATGAGTTTTTTACACACCAACCAGCTGATTATAATTATTGGAAATGAGTGGTTGTGGTTATAAACAAAAATATAACCTCTCTTAGAGGTTATAAACATTTATGAGTGGTGATTGTTAGTCCTTTAATCAGCGGGATAGATGGATTTGTACAGATTGTTTATTGTTAAGTTAGCTGAGAAATATTGTACGTAGTGGCGTAAAATATTGTACGTCACTTGTCCAAAATGTGTTTACCAAACTCATATGGTAATCCCGCACTTGACTTCGTCTCACACAGGAACGAACGGTCACACTCGTCCGGAGAACACCTATTTTCAGGACTACAGTGGAACCTCTTTAATCCGAACCCCCGTAATCCGAACGTCCACTAATCCGAACCCTTCATTGCTGTACTCTATACACAGGACAGCAGTTCTTTACTGCATACTGTATTTAAGTACTGTTTATTCACCATGTTTACTACTGTAATAAATAAACACTGTATTTTACTTTATAAATCATTTTTTCACTTTTCCCGAAATAATGTTGATCAATTTTAGCCATGTTTTAGCTATTGTTATGTAAAAACAACAATATGTTCTGTAATCCGAACTATTCAATAGTCCGAACTACCCCTGGTCCCAATTAGTTCGGATTAAAGAGGTTCTACTGTAGTAACGTAATATACTAATACCACCCATACAAGCCAAGAAATATTAACTTAAAACTTTTTAGTCGAGTACCATAAAATCTTTATTTCTTGGGTTGTATGGGTGGTAATAGTCAAAGGTGGTACATTGGGGAAAAAGTTATACCCCTATACCACCCCATTCCCACGATCTTAGGTCTGCTAACTCATTCAAGTTTATTCAGCTCTACAAATTCATTCCAAATTTCATCAAAATTGGACCAAATATCACTCATATTGTCGTGTTCATGGACAGATATACAGAGTGTCCCGGAACTCTATGGAACATTTTATATAAAATTGGTCCTTAGGTTCAGAAAAACACATTTTACAATACAAATATTGTAACCATTCGCTAAAACTTGTGATGATTGGTTTATTTCACTCAAACCCAAATTTATTTTGATTTTTAGGACAGTATTTTACATTTTACGACATGTACTTAGGCTTTGGTCCTTAAAATAATTACAGTAGGCATATTCTTTTTTAAACAAATTATTTTGAAAACCATTTATCGACACTTGTTACCAAAAGTCCATGCTATATGATTGTTGTTAAACTTACCATTCTTTTACAGCAACCAACTCTTGCCCTAACTGAACTCGACCTTGAACTTTTTGCTGAGGTTGATTTTGCTCCGTTGGGCGAAACGCTCAATGACCTTCTTACACAAATATTGGAAGTTCCACTTCTGAGCAAGGACCAATACGGAGATAAAATCATCCAGCTGGAAATGACAACAGGGAAAATACTTTGTTTTGCCAACAAGCTGGACCGAAAGCCCCAAGACAGACTTTACGATATTCTGGCAGATCTGTTGCGGACCGTATCTGATATTTTAGAGGATCTTATACAGGTTTGAAGTATTTTAAAACGGAAATAGAAACATTTTGTTTAAGTGTTAGAAACTATGATTTTACTTACACACAGCAAAAACACCTGGGCGGATTTGTCATGGATTCAATGGCAATGCTGTGGTATGTCAATTTCAGAGCAACAGGTTGTCGGCTAAGATCAAAAGAAGACGAGCGGAAAACCCCGGCACTAACCACGTACCTCGTCTTATCTCTTAACTTTACTGATGACTTATCACGGTTTATAAACTTGTTTTGATATTTTAAACGTATATATTAATGAATTATATTAATCTCCTTCTAATGATAAGAAATGTCTCAGTGACCACAAGTTGTTCAAAAGTGTATTGCTTGTCTAAATGTTAGGTTGCTTATTTGTGGCCCAATATTTCTGCGTAAATTTTCAAAATCTGTTGCCATCATTAAAAAATAATTTAAAACCCAGGATTCTACACCGACACGGTTTACTATATCACCTCAGTGTTGGATGAGCCCTTGCTACCTTGGGCCAAATTAACACGAGCAACCTCCGCCCCTTAGATGTACGCCTAGGTGTAGTATCAGTCAAAAGTGGAGAAAAAACATACGTTTGAATTCTTTTTGCAAATGCTCCTAAAGTGTACAGACCTTTGAGATATAGCAAATTATTACAACGAAATCCCTACTCCCAACTCTAACACTCATTACATCTAGAAGAACACATTACATTACATTAGAAGAATACATTGAAGAACTTCTATGTATAAGACCTCTTAAAATAAGGAATAATTTAATCATGTAAAACAATAAACTAATCTCAAACTTGTTTGCAGGGTCTCAACATTGATATTAGAGGATTTTTCTACTTGATGCTGGATTTGCTGAAAACGCTTGGATTGAACATCAACACTAAAGTTACATTGCAGCTGACAAAACTATTAAGAACAGACATCCGAGCATTTTTCCACACTTGACTATTGAATAAAGCTGTCTTACTTCAAAGGTAGCCGGTTATTTTCTGTGCTGCCTTCCTTTTCATGTTAAAAAATGTATGAAGAAAAAGAAACTAACTTGTGGCTACTATTACATCAACCGCAAGCTGGATTTTGGATTATTTTGAGTTGGTTGTATTAGTTTAAGTTTAGATATTGGTTAAAAAATGTACCAAGTTGTTAGTTTATGTTAACAGACTGTTTTTGTACAAATAAAACCCTGAGTAGAAACACAGAAAAAACTTTCTCTGTGTTTTAACTGTACAAAAATAGTCTGGAGGTAAAGGTAACATAAACTAACGACTTGGTTCAGCATAACCTATATCTAAACTTTACCTATTACAACCTACCTTCAAGGAACTTAATATAGCCTAGAATTTGCATGAAACCTGACCCACCATCCTTACATGCCTTTTCTGACATCAAAAAGAGTTTGCTAACGTTCTAGACATTTGGTTCAGTTAGGTTATGTTAGATTAGCACAATTTTATTAAATAATCCCAATAGCAAATTTCCTATTAGGATTAACTTATTACTGTAGTCCTCAGGATTAGGTTATCTAGAATAGACGAGCTTAGCAAAGTAAGGACAAGCTTGGTATATATGGATTACTACTAAATAAGGGTTCCAAGGTAGGTAAAGATCACAAGGAAACAGTTTTAGCAACAAACAAGATGAATTTATTGTGCATTAAGATACAAGGGCCACGATTTCTCATGGGAAGCGTTTGATCTTCTAGACTAAATTAAACAGAAACTGTAACTGAAGGGTCAATAGTGATTGGTGTATTTTTAATTAACTATAAGAGACTGACTTAATGAAATAAACTATTTCAGATTAAATTTTGCACAGTTACAAAACACTAGGGTTGATAGAAACAACTTATTTTATCTCTTTTGTTTTCTGCGATTGATTTGTAAAAACGCTATTAATTTTTCCTTAAACCAAATTGTTTTGACTCATAACAAACAAGTAATTGTTTGATTGAAAGGAAACTTCTAGATCCAAAGTTAATGGTTTAATGTTTACAATACATAAATGTATCTACATTTTCTAATAAAACTTAATCACACTGAAAATTTAAAAAAAACTATTTGATTGGTAATAAATAAAATATAATTTAACTAACACCAAACCACCAACTGACCCGCTAAAGAGTAATACACAAGTCTAGGTAACGCAATAGAACTATTTGCTGACCATTACATTATATACATGTACTTTTGGAATGGCAATCCTTATAAATGGATTGTGGAATGAAATTAAACACCTAAATTAGCCAAGACATCCAAAGTTAGGTTGGACAATGGAGAATATACTTAAGCACTCAGTTAGCAGTTAGCAGCACCGAGATAAAAATATTTCAGGAGTATTATCTTACAAAAATATTGAGGGATCATATTAAAACCAATGGAGAATCACTGTCAGATAGAGTAGATTGTCCGAGATGAATTCATACAGAAGGGTGTTAAGTCCCGGAACGGTTTAATATTTAAAAAATGATAAAGATAGAGCTACCAAACCTACCACAAAGTTACTAGTCACGAAAACCATTAAAAAATTATTCAGTGATGTTATCTAATAAGAGGCTCGCTAGGAGTCAGGAGAAAATCTTAAATGTAAGCGTATGTTGCTAGGCACATAAAATTAAAGGTCTTTCTTTGTTAGTGAAATACGATAACGCAACCCAAACTCAAACGGACAATCTAGTCATTAATGGCACCCGTTCTAAGATTTCTTGAATTTGCTAGGTAATACGATACCTCCTCAGAACATAACATTCCATTTACTGCTAGAAGTCGGAAGGAAATCAAATTTTAAAGCTATTTATTTGTAGTATACAATGCCCTAAATATGAGCTAAATAAACCACTCAGTAAAAAATGGCAGTCATTAAAAGATGTAAGCAAATTCAAGAAATCTTTGAGCAACTGCTATTTTTGACTTAATTGTTTTTTTTTTAACTCAAATTTGCAGCATTAGATTTTACTAACAAATACCTCCTAATTTTATGTGCATATTAACCGATGCATACATTTAAGATTTCCCCCTTAGGCCTACTCCTCGTGGCCCAGGACAAAAACCTCAGTTTCTGAAATAAGTGGATTTTTATGACTATCATAGATATACCAATTTATACCGTTTTATATCAAATGGTTACAAATATGTTAACCGTTACGGAACTTGTCTACCATCCTGTAAAATAATGTTGTGACCGGGTTGTGCTACATACATTGTAGGCTGTGTGTCTACAAAAAAATTAAAAAAGATTCCAAAACAGATAAGGTGAGAACATTCTATGTATTGAAGAACTCTCTCTCCCCACACAGAAATATACAGCTGTCTTTATTTAAATCTTTTTTAATCAAAAAGCTCTTTGCTGCCATCTTGAAAAGGCAAGCAAGAGAGAGTGGGTAGGGCAATATGTGGATTGGTGGTCTACGGTAACTTGAATGTTATCTTAAGCTATTGTTTGAGACAACTATACATTCCATCCCCACGTATAAGTTGTCGCCAGGTTTTAAATCAAAATTGTCGTAGTTGATGTAAGCTTATTTCTGCCGAATAAACAAACTTTTATTACCAAGTTAAACTAATTAAATGACTGTGAGCGAAAGCAATTTTGTTATGACCCATCAACATGGTCAGCAACAAAAAATAAGGTAGAAAGTATAAATTTAGACATTAGCACTTTCTGTGACTAGCTAACACAACTATGTTCTTAAAAATATATATATATGAACAGCTGGTCCAGATAGATGGGCTGTCTACTTCAGGATCTAATAGTCAATTAAATTATTTATTAATCTTTTTAAAGCATTCAGGTTACAGAAAAATTGTTATCCCTACATAAAATCATACATAATGACTTAATAATCACTATTAATATAAACGTTTTATAAGACAAATCATGAAATAGATTCAATTCCCTAGAACACATTTTGTTGACAGCTTTATTAATACTGTTTGACTTTGCTCCTTCAAAAACACCTAACTTTGGATATTCAGACATTGATGATAACTTTAACTTAGTTGCTAGGACAACCTCAAAGTTGTCCTAAGAACGAATAAGACATTATGTTTAACAATCTAAAAAATACTATAGTACACTCCCGATTATACGAACCTCGGTTATCATAGAAAATAATAGCCTCGGTTATCAGTCGGAAAATAATAATTAATTTCAATGTAAAAATTGCAAAGTTGACTAGCTGGACAAGCCGTAAGCAGAATGTAACTTAATCAATAGCAGTGCCAGTTTTTATCATTACAATGTTTTGAAGAAGACATGGTTGTCTAGTTATAGCTTAGGTCAAACTCAAACCAAATGTAACCATAAGGATCGGCTTACACTGTTCTGTTTCAAATTCTGCAGAGTACAGTATTGGTTTAGCATAATTGCAATAATGTTGTGTTTGAAGTTATTCAAGACAGTTTAAAAAGAATATTGAGTATGTTTGTATTATATTTTTCTTTAATAACACTAACTTATAAAAAAAAGTTTGCATGACAATTCTATTCGATAATTTTTCATTCAATATGTAACTACGTTTAAAAGACAAATTTTACAACTTTTTGACTTCCTAATGTGGAACCTTCAATGGTGACTTCCTACCCCTAAGCTTAAAATCAATGCGATCTCCGTGTTTGAGTTTCTTAATAACCGAGGTAGTCTCGGTCCCAACAACCTCGGTTAATCGGGAGTGTACTGTAGGGTCAACCGGGGCTAATATGAACAAAAAAAGTAAACTTTTGACATTAACTCAAAAATGGTAAATGACAGAAGAAAAGAAAAAATAGTAGTGTATACAGCTCTTTTAGCTGAATCTATTTATTTACTAACAAAAACCATAAATGCAACCATTATTAAAAAAAAAAATTAAAAACCACTGTTCACATTAGCCCCGCTAAAAGGGGCTAATGTGAACAGCCCATGGGGCTAATGTGAACACTCTTAATAACTCTGTTATTTACAACACTAGGCATATGTGGGGGCTGTTGTGAACAAGCCTAGGGTCTAGTCTACCAGTTGCAATAAGTCTCAATATTTTATCTTAAATAGTTTTTGAGATATGAAGGTATCTTTGGAGAGCCGCGGGTCGCCCTACGGTAACCCTTTTTTTTAAAACCATTTATAAATATTATACAGGGCTAATAATAAGATATAAACAAGAAAAAAATTATCTGTCAACATACCTGAGTATTTATTAAAAATTTCTTCCACATACAAATTGTTTAAAGCACTTAAAAAACAATAGCCTAATTTAAGACAATGCAAATTGTTCGTTTAGGCAAATGACAGTTTATTGCACTTTTAGGCCTATTAGGTAAATATAAAAATGTGGGCTAGGCCTATTCAACACCTTAACTGTTGTCTTTGTAAAATTAAAACTGTTTTATCACTGTAAGGCCTTCAAAGAAGTTTATTGAGGAACTTACGCCTCAAAAACTTCGACAATTTTGTCGAAGACATACTTATGTCTATCACTGGTTCCACATACATTAGGGGCTGGAAGTTTCCCCAAAATGTCAGTGGTAGAAACAATAAATATATCATCTTCTTTTTTCAGGAATGATTTTTTTTCCTCATCACAGGATTTAAATCCCATCACTTCGATCTCCCCGTCAGCCAGTGTTTTTAACACTGTAGCGACATAGCGGAAGGTGGTACTGTTCACAATAGCCCCCATTCACTGTTCACATTAGCCCCCCAACTTTGAAAGCTTATAACTTTGGCTGTTATTAATATATTTTAACTTTGGGAAAAGAAAAATAATCCCCAATTCTTATTTAACAAAATTCAGGCTTAAGATTATTCCTACAACCAATGTAAAAATTGTTATAACAAAAGTTTTCACTTTGCGCGGAAAAGTTTTTTGGGTGGAAAAAAAGTGTTTTAACAAAGTATTTTTTTAAAGTACCTAAAAGTCAAATTTGAAGTTTTCTCATTATGGACACAAAAAATACAATAAATTTCCTTTCTAATTATATTTTTTTCATGATTA